AAATTGACATTCGTCTAAATCCCATGCTGGCATCCTGGCAGTCGACTAATTAACTTTTCAGCCGCTTGTTTCCGGGTATAAGGCAGTAGTAATAGCCCTATTCCCCGCAGAAAAACCCGGAGAATGGAGATATAGATGCGCTGATATTTCTGCTCTATGCCTTTATCAAAACGACTAGCAGAGGTGAATTTAAAATTGCCTGCCGATGATCCTGATCGGTGTTTCTGTCTTTTTTAAACAGCTAGCCACAGTTTTACAGCACACCAACATTCAGGTGATTAAACAATGAGCAATGGCCAGCCATTACTACGATACAGTGCACATCTAACTCAGAATTATAATACTCGAATAAGCGAACGCGCGAGTTCTTAGATATGTACTGCATCGTAGTAATAGCTGGCAGTTGCTCCTCGTTTAATCACCTGAATGTTGGTGTCCTGTAAAATTGTGTTCCGCTGTTTCAAAAAAAAAAATCGAGTGGGATCATCGGCAGGCAATATTGAGCTCACTTCTGGCATTTCTTTCGATACAGGCATGCTGCCGAAATATCAACGCGCCTAGTATCTTCATTCCCCTGGTTTTCTGCGAGGAATAACATTGTTGCTACTGTCTTGTCTACGTAAATATGCAACGAAAATGCACTCAAAAACTTACGTAATTGATTTTTTGTTTGCTAACATTTCGTTTTGTTTGCATTTCGCAAAAAAAAACATGATGTCAACACATGGGTGGATCCAGGGGGCGCGGAGTTATGCCCCCACCCCCCCCTTGGGCCACGAAGAGATGCATAGCGGGCCGAAAAGGCGCAAGTTTATTGACACAAAATGTAACAAAATGGGACGTCTTTGGGGTTCCGGGCGACCAAGAACAGTCGTAAGCGAAGGTGAAAGGCCCATGAGCAGACAGAAATTATCCTCCAGTGGTTGATGGGGTGGTGATGGTGAGGATTTAAGCCTCATTGCGATGTTCATAGATCCTACACTGTTTCCGTGGGCCCTATATGTCCACAAGTACGGTTAATCTGATCGCTAAGGAGCATTATACGTTTCTCCCAATTTCTTTGCATTTGCTCGGAGGGCCCCGCGCTGTTGCTTGAGCCCTTCCAGCTGCCGCGCCGGGACATTTGTCAGTCAGGGGCCTCTCCCTGATTCCTTCTCTTCGCCCGAAAAGTTCTATACGAGTTAGCCGTGAGACGCATATATTAACGGGGCATTCTTGGTTGTTCAGGGGCCCTTTACGTCGGTCTCGGTTAACGTACCGACACACTCACGATTTGCCTATGGGCCCTCTACATTGGTCTAGAGCCCTTCATATAATATGTCACTTGCTTAGGGCGCTACGCTCTCGTCGGAGGCCTATCTGCTGGCCTTCCTTGGCACATTCGGTCGTTCGGGGCCCTCCAACTTAATCTGCTCAGGCACACTGGATTGTTAGGGTGCCTTTGCACAGTGGGTTTGGCATTTGAACGCAGGGCCCTACGCTCCTGCCGGGGTCATCTGATAGCCTGCTTGGGTGCACTCGATTTTTAGGGGGCCATCCACACTCAGTTTTGAGTACCTCTTATTCGAATAGAGGGACTTCCGCTCTGGTCGGGGGCCTATCTGATAGCCTACTCAGGCACACTTGATCGTCTGGGGGCCCTTTACATATTGGGCCTTGGATATTTCCTAATTCGAATGGAGGTCCTTACGCTCTTGTCAGGTGCCCTCTCTGTTAACCTACTCTGGCCCACTCGATTGATCAAGGGGCCTTCACATTTTGCTGTGAGTATTTGCTATTTGAGTGGCGGGCGCTATGCTCTTGTCAGAGGTCCTACCTGATTACTGGCTCTGGCACACTTGATCGTTTGGGGCCCTCCGTTTTGTGTCTGAGCATTTCTTACTTGAATGAAGGGCCTCATGCCGCTGTTGGAGACCCTTTCTGTTAACCCCACTCTGGCCTACTCGGTTGTTCGAGGATCCTCTCCATTGTTTTGCAAATATTTCTGATATAATTGGAGGCCCTTATGCCGTTGTCAGGGCCCCCATTTGTTAACTTGATCGCGCGCACTCGATCGTTCGGGGGTCCTTCACGTTATGTCTTGGGTACTTCTTTTTTGATGGGATGACCCTATGTTATTTTCTGGGCCCCATCGATCGAAGAACTCATCCCACGTTTTTGCACTTTTCACTTATTGTTACAGCAGACGTGTGCGATTTAAGCAGCAGTACTAGTTTTCTCGAAATCCTTCTGAAAAGCTCCGAATTCCGAAGTGAAGTAGCGGACCTGCGGGCGAAATCTTATTTGACTATCTTCTCACCACTATGAAAGTAATGCATTGTATTCGCCTTGCCAACGAGTGCATTCTGCAATGCTTGCAGCACACTTCTATGTCAAAAGATTTGTGTAATAAATGCTGCAAAAGTTTGAAATACCCTGTTTAGACAAAACAACATGCGACAAAACGAAACGTTTGTGGGCCTTTCGCATTGTGTCGTGGGTATCTGTTATCTGACTGGAGCGCCCTATTGTCGCGAGTTCCCATCCGTCAGCCTGCTCTAGCACACGCGATCATTCCTGGGCATTCCATATTGCGTCTTGATACCCTTATCTGAATGGATGGTCCCATGTTCTGTCGGCACCCTATCTATTAAACTGCTCGGGCCAGTAGCGGATCCAGAGGGGGAGGCACAAAACCATGTCCCCTGGTGCCCTGAGGGGAGCCATAGTCTCCAAAGGGGTCCGTAGCCGGCCGAACAGGCGCTGTTTTCTAACAAAGAACAATACAAAATTGGACGTCTATGGGCTGCAGGTGACCAAGAAAAGGTGCAAGCGAAAGTGAACAGCCCATGAGCAGACGAAGTTAATTTTCGCCGACTGAAGTGTTGAGCGAGGGAAATTTAGGGGCTCGTTACGCTGTCTAGAGGCCTTACGCTGTGACCCGGGCCCTACAGGTCCCCCCGTCGGGTTCCTCGGATCACTAAGGAGCCTTCTATGTTGTCCTTGATCTCCTTGCATTTTCTCGTATGACCCAACGCTGCTGTTGCGGCATTACCTGCTAACACACCTGAGCACTCTTGATCGATGAGCAACCCTGCACATTCCCGTTCGCCCGGAAGTCTCTACGCTTTTACTGGGGCCCATATAGCGGCGTGCACTGAGTTGCTCAGGGGCTCGCTTTGAATTAGTGTCGGTTTTTTTCGCTGGTTAGGAGGGCCTTGGACCGTTGCTGGGGCCAATACAAGATAAGGTATCGAGTCACTCGATACTCAGGAGGCCCTCCACATTGATCTAGGGCTCTTTTCCTTTAATTTTGTTTACGAGGGACCCTTCACTCCTACCGGGTCCTTTTCATTTAACCTGCCCGGGCACTCTTGATCGCACAGAGACATTAATTCACGCACACTGGTCTCGTAAAATTCCCTATGCTCAGAGGGTCCTGTGTTGTGGTCGGGGCCCTATATGTCGGTCCGCCGGGGCACTCCCGATCGTTCAGAGGCCCACCACGTTGGTCTTTGGCCGGGGCCCTATATGTCGGCCCACCGGGGCACTCCCGATCGTTCAGAGGCCCACCACATTGGTCTTCGTTTTTTCTCTCTTACTATGAGGACCCTTTTCTTGTTGACGGAAGCCTTTTTGCGCACAGTAAGATGGGTTCCCATACAAGGAATAGCATACTAAGAAACCTAAAATCTAATGGTTGGAACGCGATTTTTTTTTGGGGGGGGGATTTTAGGTGCACCTACAATTTTGCGTGCTCCCTCCCCCTCTTGACAAAATCTTGGATTCGTCCCTGTATCAACATACCGCTCGCTTTTTTAACATGGCGGCAAAAAGCACTCAAGCCTTTCACATTCACATTCGAAGTTCCCTATCAAATTGCCTTTCGGCAGTTTGCCTGGGAACCGTAAATAAGTCGTGATAACGAAGAGGTAATGTATAAGTTATCGTCTAAGCGATACCGATCAGATCTGTATGTAGATGTGACTAACACATCAATGTGTGATCATGACATCGACGGCTCGTTGAAGAAGCAGCATTGCAAGGTAGGTGCATGTAAAGAGCAACTGTGGATCCATGGAAAAAGAAGCCATCCTCCCCCAAAGATCATCCCCTCAACGGCCGGACGCATGCTATTATGTGCATGCACTGTCATGTTTCCAACAATTACTTTCGTAATCCCCCAGTAAACGGAAAACTTCATCATAACACCAAACCTTCCGGCACAGATTGTCGTGTGCTACCCACACACAGCTGTTCCACGTGTAACACGACTTAAGCCTGAACCAAAACCCTGGGGTCGTGCCTTATAGATGGATAGATAGATAGATAGGTAGACAGATAGATATATAAATGCATGGATAGATAGATAGATAGATAGATAGATAGATAGATAGACAGATAGGTAGATAGGTACATGGAAATAAGCATGCATGTGTGTGGATGTGAGACCCACAAGGTATTTCAAATGACATTGTACAAGAACGGTTTGCCTCTACGCTCAAAAGTTTAGATCCGCCTCCTGATAAGGAACATTCACTTAGCGCATGGGAGTACCACGCTTATTCAAACGGCGAAAGAACAGTCTTCTGACGGGAGATATGTACTGGACAACCTCAATTTACAGCCGAACTGTGATGTGTAACCGAAATCATGGTTTGAACTCCGATCACGCGAACAAAGGAGCTATAACGAGAATATGTGCCGCAAATTACCAATGACCACACACCATATAGAGCCCACAACGCATATATCGTTTATCGTTTCATAGAGCGCATACATATAGTGCCATGCTGCGTTTTTCGTGGTCGCATTAATTTCACAATTCAGTTCCAAAAACCAAAGACGTGGAAACAAGAGCCATCCACGCTGACGAACCGTGCGAGGAAAAAACTTTCTCGAAGTGAAGGTTTCTCGGACCAAATATGGTAGGTTCGTCTGTTGGATATGGCAGCTATGAAATAACGCGCCGTTTTTAAGGATGTGCGTCAAAAAACATTTCAGAGCCCGCTGAAGCGTAAATTTGTTTGGTGTGATGACGGTGGTGGCGCGTGGTCGCTCGTGTGCTGAAATATTCCGATTCCTCCTTTCCTTTGGTACGTTACTGCCTTTGGGCTGGGCTCTTCGATATGTATACGCTAGACAGAATGGATGGGAAGACGGCGCCGTTGTTTTCAAACTGCTAAATCCTGCGCACCAGCTACGCTTCGTGGTATAACTGGCACCCTACGAGCGTGCGTTGAGAGAAAAACATCTTCGATCTAAGTTAAGTCACCTGCAGATATTTCTTGACACGGTATCAGTAGTCCCTGAGGAGATGCTCAGCTTAATGTGTGTCATGTAAGGTGTGGGGAATGAGGGCATTTCAAATGAGGGAACATCATTTTAGTTGTGTCACAACATCACAATCTCAACACTATAACGTTAAGTACAAGTACCCATATAAGAGCAGGTAATCTTTACTGGTCACACAGTGTAGCCAGCTTTGCAGTGCATTTAAATTAGGCGAGTCTCTGAAGTCAATCATTTCTTTGAAGAGCTGTGAAGCTGGGTATCACTTTCCTTGTAATTTTTTCTCTTCCGAGATATGATTACCTCTGCTGCTTGCCTTGAAAAGGTTCAACATCACTATTTTACATTTTGTTGTTTTGTATTACATTATTTTATTTTATGATTACCTCTGCTGCTTGTCTTAAGGTTCAATATCACTGTTTTACATTTTGTTGTTTTGTATTAGATTATTTTATTTTATATTTTTATATTCATTTACTTATTTATTGTAATATATTTTAATATAGTATATATTTATAACATATTTATGTCTTATTTATTTCACAAACAAATTTTCAGTGCATGAGACAGCAATGGAGCCAGGGTGAGCAAACAGTTTCAAGCTTTCATATCAAGTATGTGATTTGTGCTGGTGGACCTCTGGCCACAGGTGTCATGTTAGCAGCTGCATACAAGATTGGACAGCATAATGTTGCAGCAGTTGGGGCAACTGCTACATATTGCATCAGGTCTTCAGGCTGCCCTTGCCTTTGTGGATTGTCACTTGTTTATTTTTGATGCACTTCAGTTCTTTTGAGGTTCTATCAAACCTGTTCCTTATTTCATTACTTCCCATGGTGCCTGGTCAGTACCAACCTGTGCACAGAGAGCAAATGTTTGGATGAATTATGGTTTGCAGGTAATTTAGGCAAAACATTCTTCAAAACATGTTTTGTGTAAAAAGCATCCAAAAATTCACCTTAATTTTGCTCGGCTTGAGTTGGTGCATGTGAATTTGATGTTCAGCACACTGTCATAATGGCATCTAACATTGTGGGTGGATGTTTTCAGACTGGGGAGAGTTTCTGTAGCAAACAGCTAGGTGTGGCAAGGAGGGCTTAGGCACCCTAATGTTATGCTCAGGTGATGTTGCAAATCATGCTTATGCCATTATATTTTGACATTTTAAAAGAGATGTGTGTGTTTTTGGAATCCTCCGCTCTCAAACTGGCTCAATTGATCTGTCCCTGTGAGAACAAATGTCAGTCATTGAAATGCTCTATGAAAATGCTCATTTCTGACTGTGATGTTGTTTTTTCTCATGAACTTTGGCAAAATGTTTCATCTCACAATTATGACCACTGTTTAAAATATTTTTTAGCTACTTTCATAATGCATTCTAATAATTATTTGATGTTTTTTTGTGACTGGTACTCTTAGTTTATCAAGGGTCATTTATGTTTGGCATGATATAAAAATGAACCCAGTATGTTGCAAAGTCTTGTGTAGCATATGAGTGGGGTGCACATGTTGCAAATTATGCAGGTGATTTTGTGTATTAGTCAGTTAACACTGGTTTGTCCTTAGGCTGCCTGAATTGTCAGTCAAAGCTGAGCCTGATTGTGTTCTAATGGTGGAGGGACATGCAGGATGTGTAGGACATGCAGGAACATGCAGGACATGCAGGATGTGTAGCTTGTCACAGGGATTTTAAAAAATAAAGTGTTTTGACTGCCAATTTTCACACTGTGCTGATAGGTCAATTTGTAAATGTCCACAGTCAAGAGGGAGCACAACCAAGAGACCACTGCTTGCTCGGGGTCTACGTATCTGCAATCAATAGGCGATAATGGCAAAACCAGTCTGGTCGATAACATAGCATACCAATTTTTTACATGTATTTTTCATAACTAGGGTATTTTAGTTCATAATAGCAAAAGTGTATATATTACCACTTGTGATGCAAGTATATCACGTCCAGTCCGACCACAGTCAAAATTATGTAGTGGCAGATAGACCAAACTCCGAAAGTTTACCTGTCAGGACACCAGCATCATATGGCGTCCGAAAAACCTCTGCCCTTCTGAGCTGAACATGGGACAGTCAACAGCTGCATGTTTCACAGCATACATCTGCATCATTCATATGTGGTAGCATCTGCTGAGTCATTCAGTCAAGATCTATCTCATTCCACTGTCTTATTTTCACAGGACCAGTTGCCTCAGAATGAGTGTTGCCGAACTACTGCATTCCAACTTATGCCTACTGGGGTATGAGAAAGAAGCATCAGGCTCCAAAGTTCTGCTTTCTGATGTAAGTAACTGCTATATGGTTTGGTTGCTCCAAAACGTGCACACAAAAAATCATGTTTTGTTGATGGCTTAACCATGCTAAAAATGCACCCAGCTGAAGATCACTGCATGTAATGCTGTGCTTTACCTCATGTGAGGACTACAGGTCATTCAGAGCCAGCTGCCATTGGACTGACGCTCGTCCTCTGCCAATCCGCTGCGCCGCTGACTTGTGCGGCGTGTCGTGACCGCCGCGTCTGCTTGCACCGCCAGGAGACGTTCGAGCACGCCAACGAGCGCGCCTTCCAGTCGGTGGTGCACTTCCTGTTGCGCGCGCTGGACGAGGAGCGCTGCCGACAGACATTCCGCCACTGCTGGCCGGTGCACGACAAACGCCAGAGCTCGGTGTACCGCCAGGCGGTGGTCGCCTGGCTCAAGGAGATCAAGCAGGTGGGCGCTGGGGACGGACGGCGCTGGGGTGGCGGACGTCGCCGGCCTTGTGACGCGATAAACATCCGTAAGTGATATGAATGACAAGTTGGCTGCAGTCTTTGTAACCTTTTAGCGCTGTTTTCTGGTGACGTTTTTCAGCCACAATAAGAAAGGTTCGGCTATAATATGGTCACGTGCTCTCTTTACCCACATTCCTGTAGTTTGTCCTACCAGGTCCACGAGCATACTGAATTTATATTTCAGAATGATCCAGATGCCGCCAGCATGCCCGTGATAAACCCAGCACTGTTCCTGTCGCCTGGTGGCCGCAAGTTCAAGGACCTGCTGCTCGCGCTAACACAGTTTGTGATGCTGAAGACATTGAGGGAGCTAGGTTCGTCAGTCATTTGAATCGTCAGGCTCATGTCTGATGACGTGGATGTACTAACTAGTGTTGATCCAGCTATTTTGGTAGCGATGAGCTACTTAAGCGAGAACAATGGTATTGAGCTCGTGGCTGTATAACAGTGTTGGTGGCATGGGCTTGCATGTACTAGTGATCTTACCTGGGCAGGTCATGTTATGTCATGCCAAAGTTTCTACGGCTCCAACATCCAAGCCTTTGCTTGCGTGATTCGCGATCGCTGTGTTCCGACCGCAGCTGACTGTGTCTGATCATCCCCGCTCCAGATCGGGAGCTGCCGGGCAGTGAAATCCTGCTGGAGCGCGGCAGCGGCGACATCCAGTACGGGGCGCTGCGGGCCTCCTGTGCCCTCAGCAAGCAGCGCTTCGTCCAGCTTCAGAAGCGCAAGCTGATCTCTCACAGTCACCACCAGCGGTTCGCCGAGTCAGTGCGGCCTGCGGCCTGGTCGTCGTGACGATTTTACCCTTTTACCCGTAGTGCCTTTTGTCGCCCGACGCCGTTGGCTGACCTCCACGCTATGATACTTTTGCTTGCATGGGATGCATGCTTTCAAGTAATGAAGCCTGTTGTGAAAATATATTCTACCAACTGGCCTTGTCATTCTGTAGTAAGTTAACATGTTGGCTCTCACAGCCTGTCAGAAGATGGTCAGTCGCAGCCAGTCGGCCAGTCCGGCATGTGTATGTGCCGGAGCCTGCCACCGAGTCGTGCCAGCACGTGCGACGCGCCTCGCCAGCCTGGCGTCTTCTCTGGCACATGACAGTCCCGTGGCGGCCGGTGTGCCCCCACGCCCACCGGCGCGTCCCTCCCTTCCCGCCCGGTCTGAGGTCTGTGACCCGCCCTGCGCTGGCTCTGGCGTCCGCCGGTGCGCCCCCACGCCCACCGGCGCGTCCCTCCCTCCCCGCCCGGTCTGAGGTGTGTGACTCGCCCTGCGCTGGCTCTGGCGTCCGCCGGTGACCCGAGCGCCTCCGCCGACAGCTCGTTCTCGACGTCGTACCGGCGGCTGCGCCAGAGCGCGGTCAGCCTGACGCAGGAGCTGGGCCGGCTGGTGGGCGTGTCGGGCGTGCCGGCCGAGCTCACGCACCGCCTGCTGCAGGAGGAGGCGGATCAGGTGGTGCCCGGTCAGTACATCGCGCGCCGCACACACCAGCCGCCGCTCCAGGGCCGCCGGCTGATGTGTGCAGAAGCGAGCGTGGGGAGCGCTGAGTCAAGGGCGGTGTTTGGGGTGAGGTACCCCGGGCTTGCCTGCCAACGGAGTGGCTCTACATCCGCGAAAACGTCACTGAGATGGTCGGCCGTCGGGGGAGGGGATTGGATGTGACCGCTGGTGGTTGGCCGACCTCAAGCGGTGTGGGCTGACCGTCTGTTGACCGGTGCCGTGTCCCTGGCGGCCCGTCGCTCGGCCCTGTATCCGCCTGACGCCGCCCTCCCGGCGCCGCCCCAGCCGTGTACGCCGCGGCTCGGCAGCACCTGGCGGCGCTGGAGGCCGGTCTGGAGCGGCTGCGCCAGTTCTGCCGCGAAGCCGCCTTCAGCTGGAGCGTGGTCGACTCGATCGTGTCGGGAGCCGTCGCTGACTCGGTGGTGGACGCGCACACGCTGGTCCCGCTACCGCCGGCAGACGCAGCTCAGGTCAGTGGCGAACGGTCCATCTGGCGGCGGACCCACCTTCACCGCAGTATACCCCAGCTTGAGCTATAGGCTGAGTCTGTCTGTCCGAGTCTGAGGCACGTCGTCTGAGCGGCTCCAAGGCCCGGGCCAACCCGAAGTGTGCACACGGGATGTTTACCTGACGTGCCCACCCCACCTTTGCTGTTCCTGGTGCATAATTACTGCATCCCTGTTGATTGGCTGCTTCCGTTGCTGCTATTCGTGAGTGTCCGTGCGACTTTGGCGGTGTCTGTGGCCTGCGTCGTAGCACGGCTTTCGTCAGTCACGTGGTGCAAAACGCGTCTCGGTACAGGCTTGTATCGGATGCTCGTAAGGAGGCGAGGATACGATATATACGAGGATATGATAGGAGGATATGATGGGGAGTGAGGACACGTCCGCGTACATCCTGCGCTGCCGTGGACGGGTGCGCAGTCCCGCTGAGCTTCCGTCCGCCGGGCCGCTGAGTGTCGTTAGCAGCCGTCCCCAGCGGTGGCCGCGTCGCCCTGCCTGTGAAGTGGCGGTCACCGCTGTCCTCGTCGGCGTCCTTCGCTGCGTCCTCAGTGTGCCCCCGAAGGTAGGCCCGTCGCCGGGCCGTGCTGGTCGGTCTGGGACCGACCACCAGCCGTGCCCCGCTGGCCTCCACGCCGGGCCAAGCTCCTCAGACTCACTTTCTGCTGTGGCAGGGTCCGTCAGAGCTGTTGCTGGACGGCAAGCTGGACCTGGTGGCGTTCTTCGAGACGTTCGTGAAGCGGGTAGACCAGCTTCAGCTGTTCCTTACGCAGTGCCCCATTGCTGAGCTGAAAAGTAAGACGCTGTCAATGTCAATGTCAATGTTTTCTGCAGCGTTATTCGCGAGTGTTTTTACTTATCTGTTGGTTAAAATGAGCACGTGTACAGCTTACCCCGCTTGCTTGCTACCCCGCTTATCTCACCTTGCTCATGCGTGCAGTTGTGAATGGTGCAATTCAATCCGTCTCATTCCTCGCGTCGCAAACATAGTGCGACGCGCGATCCCGCCAGCGCTCCTCCCATCAGTTCAGGCCCGGGCCCCTGCGACCGTGTCCGTCCGTGACCGCAGCGTGTGCGCCCGCTGCCGCCAGGTCTGCACGGCTCGCTGCCTCCGCTGGTGCGCGAGGCGTCCCAGATGGCGCGTGAGGCCGGCCGGCTGGTCGCCGACGTGCAGGCCGAGACGGACGCGGCGCAGCGACGCGTCGACCGACTGCTGGCCAGCGACGCGACACCGGCGCGCGCCGGCCGCTCGCGCAGTCGCTCGCCGCCGCCGCTGTTGGCGCCGCGTACGCCCAACTGGTCCCTCAGTGCGGCGCCGCCAGCGCCGCCTAGCGACCACCCGTTGAGGCACATGTACCGTTTGCCACTTACGGATGGCGGGGATAGCAAGGTGGGTGGCAGCGAGTGATCCGTGGTTTGAGCTGTGAGATGATTCGATTTCCTGATGTCTGACATTTTTGCATGCGATCACGCGGGCTGCTGTTAAGTGTATCGCACAAGTACTGTGAGATGCACTGCACACTTCACATTCTCAGCGGTTCCAGTTCCAGTGAACAGTTCCACCTCTAGTTCATCGGCTCTGGAATCATTTGGAAGTCCAATTGGGCTGACTTTACGTAGCTTATTGCCCCTGACAGACTTCAGCAAAAACAATGCACATGTTGAGGGAAGTATTTCTTTACGCAGTCACTACCGACGTTGATTGTTACGTAAAACCTAGCTTATAATATTACCCCTCAGCAGCCTTAGTTATCGATGTTTGTTTCTGGCATTAGCTTCTGTTCGGCACAGGCATGTTGTCCTCCGTTGCCGCACTGACCGTGCATGCCGCGCCAGCACGGACCTCGCGGTCGTGAGTCATTGTAGCGGCGGTGATCTCGTCAGCGCGGTGCGCCACGTGAAATAAAATCACGCGGGGCTTGGGCACGCTGCTGTTGCCGCCGTCGAGCCGTGAGTCGACATCGAATCACGCGGTTCAGACTCATGGGCGGTACTCAGTGGCGGCTGACAGTCTGCCGGGGCCTGACTGTGGCTTGGCCTTGTGTTGAGGGCGGCAGGCGTGCTGTCACCGGACGTCTGGCGTTCCGCCTGGCCGCCTCCCTGCACGAGCCAGCCAGGCGCGTCCCATTACGCCGGTGCTTTGAGCCGTGAATGTTTGCCGTGCGCACGGCTCCCTCTGCCGGTAAACCGTACGCAGAGGGGCAGCCGCTGGCACGAGGGAAGCCTGTGAGGCCGTCGGGAGGTCGCCCGCCACGCCCAGCTCCTCAGGGACACGCAGCCGTGTTAGATGTTGAGGCACCGCCAGGCACCACGGTATGGTGGGCTCAATTCCAATCCAGATACACATATGCACAGTCTTGCCGAAGAACGCAGCAGAAACGAAAGTGTGTATTGGGGCCCGGGAGTTCATGGGTTTGCTCCGCGATAAAACGAAGGTCACGTTGATCAAATTCAGATTGGCTCTAATTACCCAGCCATGAAGTTTGGCCAGGCCCGCATGTCTGAGACGACTTCCAACCGAGTCCGTGCAGGTTCGCTTGATAGTAATGGCGTCAATTACACTGGAAGCATTCCTGGAAACGTCTTCCTGATGTGTGCGAATTCATTGGACCTGTTTTGTGTTTGATCTGCTTAAATCAGTCGATGCGAATTTATCCACCTCCTGTGGGGAACCTATTGTCTGCAACAAACAAGCTACCGGTGACGAGGGTGAGATCATAATGGCACGAACAACCCCGCCGTAAGGTTTTCAACACACGATCATGCGACTCGTTCTTCAGTGGTTAAGTTCAGCTGTGCCGTTTTCAATCTGGGTCACTGATTGCAGGCAGAGCGCCAACACTAACCGGCACGCGCGTTCGTTGCAGACGAAGGCAGACCTTTCGCTGGAGGTCGAGCTGTCGAGTAGCGACCGCTTCAGCAGCGGCTCCACACTGACGAGCACCCTGCGCTCCGCCCGCACGCCGCCGGCGGCTATCGGCGGCCGACCGCTGCGGCTCTCGCTCGCCTCGCCCTCTCCGGGCGCCGCCGACCGCTCCGTCACCCCTGCCCGGCCCTCTGCCGCTGCAGCGGCCGCGGCGGCCGCACCGAACGCCGGCGGCGCCGCCGACGCCCGCTTAAGCTCGTGCTCGTCGCTGTTCTCGCCGCTCGGCGAGCGCGGTGCCGGCGCCGCCGACTGGACGTCCGGCTCACCCAGCCTCGGCTCCGTCTCGTCGCTGGCCGAGTCGGGCGAGCCGGCGCCAGTGGCGGCGGCGGCGGCGGAGGCGGTCGGCGCGGGCTCGCCGTCGGCAGAGCTGGTGCGCCTGCGCCAGCGCACTTCGGCGCTGATCCGCAGTTTGCGCCAGTCGCCGCCGCCGCCGCCGCCGCCGTCGGCCGCCGCCGAGTGCGACGCGCCCGTCGTTGACGCCGGCTCCGGCTCGCCGCCTGCTCCCGAACCGGAGCTGGCGGCGCCCGCGGCCCAGTCCGAGAGCAACTTTAGTCAGCTGGAGGATCAGGTCAGTCTGGACGGGGGACGGAGCGAGTGTCTGGCGCACGGGGTGGTGCGAAAGTTGGGATGGGCGTTGGGTGCCGGTGATTCGGCGCCTGTGTTGTGGTGTCGGTATGCAGGATTGTGGAGAACGTGTTGACTGGTGGGCAAGCTCGTGTATTTTGCCCGAGCATCTGGAGTGTTGCATGTATTTGATATAGGTTTGCCCTGATCCGAATTAATCTCAGCTGGGAAAATCCAGCTGGAGCATTCTGTAATTTACTCCTGATGTAAGCGCGTTATGAAGTGTTGTCAGTCTTTTGTCAGTCAGTTTTTTTTTGTCTTTTGTCAGTTTTGTGTTCTGACTTTCGGCTCACTGTAACCTCTGCCTGTTCGAGCTCTGCAATGGCTTTTTCTGTGTATTGTTGATCGGCTTGTCATGTATTCCAAGAGGGTCACGCGTTGTTTCTTTTACAGATGGCAGAAGCACTGGCCCTCAGCGTCTTTGGTCCCGGGGATTTCAACCATTCGCTGGATTTATCATTCAACCGAGAGAGCTTAGGTAATTCTACTCCTCGCGTTTTTCTAGGTCGTGCAGATGTGAAGAGATCTGTTTATGCGGTCAAGTCTACCAAAAAACACAATTTTGTTTTCCTAGAAAGAGCTAAGGAATGTTCTCAAAAGCGGCTTGTCATCTTAACAAGTTCCAGACATCTAGAATATTCCCACTTTTGCGGTTTTTTTTTGTCTGTGGCGGTGACGCAATAAACAAACACCGTCGTAATGAAAGAACCGTTCCCATGCCCCCCCCCCCCTCCCCTCTCCCCCCCCCCCCCCCCCGGCTCTCCCCATAAGGCCTATACATTTGCCGAAACTTAGCATAATTATTACAGTGTGGAGAAAGCTCCTCGCGGAAAAGTAGAATCTAGAGATGTCACAAATCCCCATGCCATTAACTACAAAGCGATGTTTTCTCCGCATGCCGCCTTTTTCATTGCCAATGAAAGCCGTGCAAGCTCGGGCTTCCCACCCCATTACGGGAGCGGCTGTTTCTGGTTTCTAGTGCATTCCGAAATATTATGCCGAACATCAGTCCGGGAATCGTGTAACGATGAGGGATCGGGAAACCCGAAATTTATTCAACGTATTGTGGTACATTCCAGGTGTGGCTTATATTTGAGCTGAATATCAAATGCGACACATTTGTTATTGGATTCCTGTGTGTCCAGCATCGAGATCTCTTGATGACGTCAACCAACCCCAAACCTGATGTCTTCTGCGGAACCTATCTCCCGGTTTCCTCCCTGAACTCAGCCGTCTGCAGTCGGTTCTCCTCCGGTCTCTGGCACGCCGTGCCCTTTCCGTTGGGCTGGCGAGCGGCAGCTCGGCCCTGACCCCAGTGCGGCCCGGTCCACAGGTGGCGTCGAGCTGCCGCTGGTGGAGCTGGACGACAGCGACTGCGTGGACGACTGTCCCGCCAGCCCGGCGCGGGTCGAGCCGCCCACAGACGTCCTCATCGACCTGTAGCAGCCTGGTGTCAGCGGCCGCGCCGGAGGCCGGCTGCCGGGCCCCGACCGGCGGGGAGCGGGACGCGTCGCCGGGCCGCCGCCGGACGGTCGGCGACGTCGGCTGAGCCCGGCGACGGGCCCGCTCTGGTGCCGCCGCGCGCGTTAAGCGGCGGATGTAGATCACGCTGGTGTGTGCTTCGACGGATGCGGGTCGCGCTGGTGTGTGTTTCGACGGATGCGGGTCGCGCTGGTGTGTGCTTCGACGGGTGCGGATCACGCTGGTGTGTGCTTCGACGGATGCGGATCACGCTGGTGTGCGCTTCGACGGATGCGGATCACGCTGGTGTGTGCTTCGACGGATGTCGATCACGCTAGTGTGTCCTTCGACGGATGTCGATCGTGCAAGTGTATGCTTCTCGAGGAGATCCGCCGGCTTCGCTGCGTATAAAAATGTGCTGCCGGGATTCGCAAGAACGGCATTTGGGGAGGGGCGGCTGGAAACAACGCTGGTGATATATGTTTTACGGTGGGGTCTGACCGGGGCGGATGTGGACTGTGGGTTCAGAGTGCGTGTCGCTGCAAATCTGATGGTTTGCAATCTGATCAGGCTGCTTCGGCGTTCCTGATTGTGTCTGCTTTAAAGTTGCACTAACGTGTTGGCAGGCTTCAGCTGAGTTGTGGGGACCATCGCCTTTCCAATTGCTTGTGAAATGTCTGTTCTTCTAAACCGCTAAGTTCTCGGTGCATAGCACGCTGCCTTGTTATGTTATGGTGAGTAGCTTGTGTAAATAACGGCCATTAAAGGTCTTACTGAAATACAGGAACAGTTGCGGCACACCCCGTTTTAGCAACATGTTTTATCCCCAGCCGTCGTTTGGTATAAGGTGGCATCTGACCGCCCGTAGTCGAACTCCCGGGCTCTTTGAACACGAATGAGGGAGTGGGTTTGCATGGCCAAAAGGTTGGTCAGAATGCGTAGTGCGTAGGGGTATAACTTAACGATAATAACATTCGCTCTGGATTAGGTGACTGCAAGGGTATTCTTGTTTGGTGTAGGGCCTATTGCCATGAGTGCGTGAACACTGCGATGTAACACGATAATGGAGGCTGTTGGGGGCGAGACGTGACCAGGAAAGTCGGTGTGCCCTGCAACCCAAGTCCTTGTCATTGTGAGAACAACGTCTTAAAACAGACGTGGAACCCGATTGAGGATGTCCGGTTTTCTAAGAGCCTGACACCGACGCGTCATTTGATATTACCGGCAGGGTCTGGCTGTCAACGCTAGCATCAGATTCTATGGCAAGTGAAGGTCAATAGAATAAGCGAGGTTCTTGACCCGTCGTGCCGGTCATCACGTTGCGAAATTGGGTTATTCCCAAATGGTAGTTTTGCATTTGTAGGCCTTGCCGCGCATCACCCTGTAATTATTGTTTCCTCCCCCCTTTTTCTCTCTCTTGTAAGCCGTGCGGTGCTCCTGTTGCTGAGCGTAAACGCTCGTTTTTTGAGCATTATTTTCATGCAACCAAGTACTTGCAAGAAGTAGTAATCACTCCGAGGATTAAATCCAAGGGTGCCAGGCGACGGCCCCATCCCGTCGACAGTTTGAGAAAAAATGTGGAATTATGCAAGTCTTGGTGATCTTTGTATCTTGCGAATGGCGCGGAGGAGACGATTGGGGGAAGGAGGCCGCCAATCACATTGCCTGCCTCCCCCTCCGCGTACCCTTGCCCATACCTGGTATCGGTAGACTCATCGCGTTGCCATTGGCGTGATTGCTGAGTTTGGGACTTGCGGATACCGATACAGAGGGGTGGTGGAAGCATTTGTTAAAGGTAGGTGATGCGCTTTATGGGTTACGAATTAAAATGACATATGTTTTTTTCTACACCATGCAGCACGTAGCTTATCGGATCAAGGTGCTTTGAAGGTTACAGCTTTCCATAGCATCATGCTAAGCTGCTGTGGCCATAATTTTACTGAAAAGCGTTAGGCTGCTAGGCCTGTTCATACCTGCATGCTACTAATTCATGTGGTTTGCTATTGTTTAGCACATGCATGTGTTTCAAGGGTGCGTTTGTAGGCCTCAAAAACTGAATTACTGAATGTCTCTTTCTGCTTTTAGGATGGCAATGGAAGAACACACAGTCACCTTGAGCGATGATGAAGAAGAAATGGAGCAGCAGGCAGTTTCTCTCAATTATGAGGGGTCATTAAATAAATGGACCAATTACATCCATGGTTGGCAGAACCGATGGATGGTTCTTTCAAATGGTATGACATGAACTTCTCCTTTGTTTGTGGTTGCTTGTGACTGATCTACTGGAACTTGGCTGATTTCAATCAGCATTGAGTGGGATAGGTCCCAGACTTATGAACTTTGTGAAGTCATCTTCCTGAGTACTGCTCAATGCATGTACCATTACTGATTGTCTGTAATTATCTCAGTCCATGGTTAGGCTCCCAATAATTGTTCTAGGTCATGAAATCAGCAAAGCATTATCAAGGTGTTTACCTTTTTGATCATCAAGACACATTTTTTCTGATGACAGTCATGCTTGATGTTGCTTCTGAACTGACTACATATTTTTGTAATTTTATGAAATTTGGGTCTGATAGCAGCCTGTGAAATAGCCATGACATGTGCTTTGACCATGTTATGGATTCATTGTATAGGTGACAAGTGGAATTCCTGTTGCACTGTGCAGTGGTGCTATCTATTGGTGATGCGATATCACTTCTAGGTTTGTCTGTATTGCAGGTACATTGTCATACTACAAATCTGAGCATGAGCAAGGTGTTGGGTGTCGTGGGGCTATCAGCATCCACAAGGCAGCTATTAAGGTAATGTGTGAGCACCAGCTGGGATCACTGTGGGGTGGTATCTTTCACTGCTGAAAAATACTCACATGTTTTCCTATATATGTCAGACAGCATGACCAAACATAAATATCATGGTTTCCTGAGATTGGACATAGCACAGCAAAATGACTACTTTTTCTCTTGTTAATGTATTGATACATTCTGCATATTTGCCTTTTTAAAATGATATCTGTCTGCATGTGCTTCTTTCATCTGATACAGTGGATTACATATGTTAAGTGCAGTGTGGTGTGGGCTGATATGTCTTTATGTGGCACAAGTAGCTCAGTATCTCGAAGGAGACAAGGTTTTCTGACCACCTGATTCAACCTACCCCAGGTGAAAGGCCCAGTTCATGTGCAAGGTCTGTTTGGATGCAATTCCATCCATGCAAGCTATTACAATATCATCCTTAAAACTTGACATGTTGAGTTATCTGGTGAACCATTTGTATGGTAGCTCCACATCACAGCCTGTAGTAGGCCTGTTTTCATAATTCTTTAGGGTGAAGTGTGTTATGTGTTTTCGGCCTACATGAATCCTCAATAGTTATCTTGTCAGGAAAGGTGGTACATCATTGTGTCCAGAGTTTGTCAAGGTGATTTCCAGTGCCCAGTAGCATCAAACAAGCCACCTTTTTGCAGCCACATGAGTTTGATGAGTGCCGGTTCGACGTGTGCGTGGGCGATTCAGTTTGGTACCTCAGGTCCAACTCGCTTGAGGAGCGCAACCGCTGGATGGACGCCATCGAGCGGGCCAAATGCGTGAGTGCTCTCTGTGGCTTTTGGCGTGGGGGGTCTGCTTCCTCAGCTGAGCCTCAGGGGGGGGGGGGGGGGCAGTGCAGTCCTGGCAGTTGGGTTGTTGATGGTGGCCACTCAAGGTAGGCATGAGGGACATGTGACATCTTTCCCCATGTGACTATCAGTAACATCAAAAGCAATGTGGAAATGTGAGTTAGCAGCATAGACCATGATAGCTGAGCAGACCACTGCCATCTGGATGTAGAATGTGGCTTTGTTAGTTTTCATGCTATTCTTTACAACTTTGTTGTCTAGAACATGCTCATATTTTGCAGAAATAGCTTTAGGCCTTGTAGTTTTGTTATTTCAAGTTCAGTCCTAGTTTTGTCTTAATTTGTAAAAGCTGATGATCAGTTATTCCCATTCAAACAATGATGCCACCATCCAAACATTGCAACTAATTTCCTATGATCAGTGTATATAAGTACGGCCTGCTGTCCCTGTTCAGTGCTGCTCAATACTCGGTATCGTTGCCGGGTCGCTCCGGGGCCGGTGCTCTGACGCTGTGTGTCGCCAGGCGGACTCGGCGTACGGCAGCGCCAACAGTCTGAAGCGGCATGGCTCGGCGCTCTCGCTCACCTCCAACACGCTCTCCGGATCCGGTGTCAAGTGGTGCAAAGGTGCGCCGCTCGGGCTGGCCGCCCGCTCTGGTCATGGGTCGAGCAGCCCAAGTCTGCTGTGTCTTACACTCGGAGCGTGATCCCCCTCCCCCGCCAGTTGGGGGCTCCGCCAGATGTGGCCGGTACTTCCGTGTTATGAGTTTGACTGTTGTTAAGCTCCAGCGAGGTGTTCATGCCTCTGTTTGTGGTAGATCTGTGCATGGCCATGTTTTATGCTTGCACATTGGCAAATACAACATCTGGTAAAGTTTAGGAACGTTGTCTGCTATCTGCAGTTCGGCCAACGACCAAGAATCCTTCGCGCGCGTCACTTTCATGATGCTTTTGGCTGGACATTCCCTTCCTCGTCTCATAGCCGCGGTCGCCTCCGATCGGAAGTGCACCTGCTCTGTGCCATCGGGCCCCGCGTGTTGGCTGCAGTGGCCCATCCGGCGCGTCCGCGCGCCTTGCCACGTGACCACGGCCCTGACCGCGCCGACAGGCCTCAAGGAGAAGATTGAGGAGCTGGAGACGTACCGTGACATCCTGAAGCGCCAGGTGGACACCCTGCAGACCTTCTTCGACACCTGCGTCACCGCTGGCGACCGCGCGCGCGCCAAAGGTGAGCGCACGTCCCTGCCTTGTCGCCCGAGGGCGAAGGCTGGGATGTGTGGGAGGGGGGGGGGGGGGGGGCGTCTCGCGAATGGGCCGCCTTCTGGCCCGCGAAGTACCGGGACGGACGATGACGTGTCTTGGTTTTGTGGTGGTACGGCTTGGTTTTGCAAATGCCATTCACTTCCTTTTTCACAACGCTTT